AAAAACAAACAAACAAACAAAAAACCCCAAAACCCCATAAACTATAAAATAAAAATATTTGATTCAAGTATTTTTCTTTGATTTTTGTTCTTCATTTTGACTTGAACAACCATGCTGTGATGTTCTTTAGGTTTTTACATTTCCTTTGCAGACAGAAGAGAATATTCTATATAGTCTATTAAAAATAGTAGCTCCAAAACAAAGAGCTCAGTGACTCAGACTGCCTTCTTCATATACCTGGGTATAAGCTTAGCCACAGAAATTCACTCAGTCACTTACTTCAGAACATTTTGTACAAGAATCCCAGCAACAACTCCCATTGTGGTGGGAAGACTGGCAGCACAGACACCTTCTCGTTTTAATGTTTTCTCATCGATATTTGCAGCAACGACAAGTGGGGGTGCACACTAAGGAGGAAAAGAAACAAATTCCATTAAAAACAAAGAAACAAGAACTACGCACTGCACAAAGGCAATAAACAGAGTCACTTTACTACCCAGTCTGCAGCTTATGCAGCATCCAAAAGCCACAATCTTCATTTCATCAGTCCTATTTTAAGAGGGAGCAGGGACTAGAAATTCCATTCTCAGAAAAGGATCCCATAGCAGCACTGCATACCGCAAAACAAGCAGTTTCACCAGGGATGAGGAGTTGTATATGCCCAGAGACTGCATTTTCACTCACTCCAGATTCCATCCATATTTGTCCAAGTTCATTGCAGGCCTATGAAAAATAAGATATACACAAATTAACAATGAGGAAGTTAATTGCAAGCGATTAGGATCACTTCAAGGTTTTTAAGATACAGCTAGACAAAGCCTTGGATGCTATGATATAGTTGAGGATGGTTCTGCTTTGAGCAGGGGGTTGGACTGTTGGACTAGATGACCTCCTGAGATCTCTTCCAACCCTCATTTTCTAACCAACTCATTTGCGTTATAAAGCCAGAACATAAAAGGGCCAGAGGAAAAGAAATAAGGAATAGAAACCATCACCCACTGTCACTTGTAATGTGTTTTACAAATTATTCTTTATACAGAAAGTCCAGGAAATGAATAAACAACTGATCTACCCCTTATATTTAATTTCATATTTATCAACAGATTCTTTAATAAGGGCTTGTCTTTTCCCTGACATAACTCCTTTTATAATTTATAGAAGAATATGGTATGAAACTCACATGAATATTACACACACATGCACACACACACAGGTGTTCTACTTACTGTGTTAATTGCCATGCGAGCTTCAAAGTTATCTACACAGCTCAGTACAAGATCAACGGGTTTCCCTTCTTCTAGCCCACCGTTACTGAAATAAAGAGCAAATTTCACATACAAATGGCTTGCGGAATGCAATATTAAGCTATCAAAACATCATTTGAGTACAGAAACTGACTGGATACAATGTCATACCTCACAAAATCTGCACCCTGTTTACAACTCACAAAAATAGTCTTAACTACTGAAAACCCCCGTTTATCCAAAACACTTTGGAGATATTCAGAAAGTATGAAATAAACCAGTTCCTAGAAATGTGGTTACAGAACGAAGACTTAAAATCAGAGCACATTTTAGATTAAAGGAGGCTATACTTTGTCTAATTTGCACCTCTTATAATTTTGAAGAGAGGTACACATTTTTATTTCCCCCAACAGTCTTTCTGCAATCAGAAGTTATATAAGAACTAATTTACAAATTATATTAGTGACAAAATATTATTTTTCAGTGGAAAAAAATCAGGCTGCAAAACGCTAGCATTGTACAATATGTTTTTTTGTCCATATATGACTCACAACACGTTGGAATTTCAATGTGGTTTGGAGGTCAAGGGCAAAATAATCTAACTTGCAACTACTTTAGAGTATAAAATAAATGCTGTTTACCAAGTTCTAACTGTATATCAGGACTAAGAAAACAAAAACATACGTTCATACATTTAATCTAAAATGTGATTATCTTCCCAAAGGAAAACAAGCTTATTGAAAATATAATAGAATCAACAGAAAATGTAAGACATTATTTATGAAACACCAAAAGTATTCCTGTATGTTCTCTCAAAACATTTTACCTTATTCTATCCATGAAATGTTGGAAGTTGTCTACTGTTGTAATATTGTAGTTATGTACTTCAAATTGCACATCAGGATTAATATTCCTTAGGGAGAAAATAAAATGAATTAACAGCAATCACGAACGCAGTGGCCCCCTGAAGGAAATACTATAGCTACCCAGTTCTCAAGTTCTGATGGTGTCTTAAAAAAAACAAACAAACAAAAAAAAAACACTTAAGCCTAGATTTCTCTGGAAAAGGTTTGCTCACATAGGCTTTTAGCAAACCATCTTAGCATGATCCGTCTACTGTTGAAGATGGTTACTTGTTTTAGAATAAAATAACCTCTAATGGAATAAGTGGTTTTTGCAAGTATAACTGTTAGCCTTAAGATTTTTGACCATAAATGCTATTGAAAAAATCCCCACTCTAGCTAAAATTTTACAACAACTAGGATTTCTAATGTTGGGCAGGCTTTCATTTCAATAAAAAAATATTTCTTTGTGAATTATATGAAGGTATGAATTTGTAATCCAATTTAATATCCAATTCCACAGATACATACTTCAAAGTATACTCTGCTGCCTGTACTTTGCTTAGTCCAGCTTGATGCGGCTGAAAGAAGAGTCTGTTCATATTTGCCAACTCTACCTTGTCGTAATCGAACAGCAGCAGCTAAAAGGAAGATTATGAAAACAAGCATTAATTTTCAATGGGTTTGTATTAAAAAACCTCATGCTGGTCCATTTTCAAAGGCAAAGTGTGCATTTTCAAAATTGGAGCCTTTTACAAGTTGTCACCCATTTCACCAAGCTGACTCATATGCAGAGACTTAATTTTTAGCACGCTGCCCACTAGGAATTAAGACAAATCTCATGTTTATACCTCAGCATGGTGGTTAACAGAATATGGTTTTGGCTATTTTATTCACAGTCAGGAGAGATGTTCAGCAGATCATCTATACACGCAATCTAGATCAAATCTGCTTTTTATAAATCCTTTAAATTATTTCAAGGTATTTTCTGATTGTATCTCTTTCCATTTCAATTTTAACATATAGATTACAGGGCTGCACGAAGCTTTGGTAGCTGATTTGATTTGGAGGAGATTCAGCCTGATTTGGGGACCAAATCTCCAAATCTGAATCAAATCAGGAGACCAAGTAAAAGCTCTGAATTGATTCGAAACATCCAAATTGATTCGGAAAAGATTTGGCCGGTTTGGAGATTCGGCCATAGACTAAACAGGCAGCTGACAGCTGCCTCCAGCTAGTAAGTCTGTTGGGGTTGGGGGAGGGAGGGACTGGGACTGGGACAAGCTGCCCTGCCTGGGTGAGGGAGCACCTTACTTGGGATGGGGGGTGCCACGCCTGTATCATGCGAGCCTCCCCTCCCGCCCCCCTGTGTTCACTAGGCAAGCAGCAGCAGGGAACTGGAGCTACGGAGGCTGAGGCAGGAACAGCCAGAGGAGCCTTAGAAGTCCCCATGGCTCCCGAATTAAATCACTGTCCTCCAAACCGGCCAAATCCAAGTCGAATATTTCCCTATTCACACAGGCCTAATAGATTATTGCAATAAACACATTTCACAATTATGTGCTATGCACATATTTTTCACCTAAGCAATTTTTAAACTGCTGCTTATCAATTTAATTGAACATCCTCTTGAACAAAGTCACATTTACATAACACAAGTATGTGACACAAACCAGAAGCATTCAATTCTTTATTATTCACCTCATTATTGGCTGTTTTATTTCAATATCTTCTATAACAGTGATTCTTAACCAGGGCATGAGATTCTTTGAAGGGTACTGTGGGGTGTGAGGAGGTAAGTAATTCAGTTGCCCCTGCCTCTACCTGGCCCCTGTGCAAGCAGGTAAGTGCTGGCTCCTCTCCCTTGGTCTGGCCCCTGTGTTAGGAGATATACCATGTAATAAATTAAATTAGTCTTTAACTGTGATGCCACTAAATTCAGAAAAGTTTCATAGTTTCTAGGGTCGGAAGGGACCTGAGAAGATCATCTAGTCCGACCCCCTGCCATG